GAAGGAAGGAGTGAGGAAGGAAGGAATGGGGAAGGAGGGAGTGAGGAAGGAAGGAGTGAGGAAGGAAGGAGGGAGGAAGGAAAGAGTGAGGACGGAAGGATTGAGGAGGGAAGGGTTGGACCTTAGGAAGAGGAAAGTAATGAAGCACTAGCAAGACAGTTGGTGGATTTGGGTTATTTCAAGGAACAGCAGGTATACTCCATGTTGGGTCTTTACAATACTCAGCAGCAAAAATCCATGTACAGGCTACGTAGAGACTTCACTGATGCAGTTCTCCTTAGAGGCGCCAGCAGATGCGCTTCACAAGCTTGGTTTGCGGCACTTAAGGGAAGGCACAACCTAATATCTTACAAGTCTTTGAGTTTGGGAAGTTTGGCCAGTGCCTCACAATCATATCTTACATACCCTTGAGTTTGGGAATTTTGAGCTGTGTCAGAAGGAAATTATTAGGCGACCATGACTCGTTTAATAGGTGCGCCACAGATCATACCTTGCAGTTCCTTGAGTTTGGAAAGTTTAACCGATGTCGGAAGGAAAGTATTAGGAGACTCATGACTCGTTAATAAGGTACCTCACAATTCATATCTTACAGTTCCTTGAGCTTGGAGAGTTTTCCCAGGGTTGGGGGGAGGTATCCGGTCAGTTTGGTCCATGAAACTTCCCTGCATGGGGGCATCGTTGCGCATACGTAGAGCCAAGCCCTTGTTTCTCCGCATACAAGAGACAAAGCGTTGCTGTGCATACGCAGAGCCATGTAAGATATATTTGTTCTTGAGATGAGTCTGAATGAGTTTGAAAAGTTTGGTCAATGTCGGAGGGAGGTATCCGGTAGGATTAGCCACCGCCTCACGGGGAGCATTGTTGCACATATGCAGAATCAAATCGTAGTCTTGTTGTTGATACGAAGAGCCAAAACAATGTTGTAGATAGGCATTACTGGACTGGGTCGAACCAGACCTAAGCAACAGCCTCCTGCCGCACGTCATAGCCTCATTCACTGCTCTTGCATGTCTTGCTGTACTGTTCCAGATGGCACTTTTGAGTCGACTAAAAAATCATTTCTTGCTGTACACGTCGTGCTGTTTAGAAGACACTCACAGGAAAATGGTGTAAGCAACTTTTGGGTCGAACCAAAAATCACCCAGTTCACTGCTCTTGCAGGTCGTTCTGCTGCTCTGAAGGCACTCATAGGCATATGGTACAAGGCACGATCTGGGCTGCTTACAAGGTTGTGAGCTGCAGGAGGTTGCCAATGGACTCTGGGATGCTGCCAATCAGGTTGTTGAGCAAAAGATATCTGAAGCAGGAATGGCAGCAAAATCATTAAGTAGTAAACATTGTGACCTGTTACTACTAGAAACAAGACAGACAATGAATGTGATGGAAGCAATTCATACAATGCTGAATAAAGGGAATATCGATTGCCATGAAACAAACCATGGTAGTGAACAGTAACAAGCAGCAATAATTTCGAATATAGGTACCATCAAGAAGTTCACAAAGGAGAAAGGCCCATAGTTTGTCTAGTCAAAGGCCTTACAAGCCAGTCCGATGGATAAGGATGCCTATTGTTGCCGGTATCGAGCCCGTCATTTTATTTCCCAATAATGATCTGTAATTTGTACAGCGGGGTGGGTAACAGCAAAAATTACAGGGCTTCAGCATTAGTTTGAGACACCTCAAGAAGACATCACAAATCAACAGGGTCGAGGTCATGGCGCAAGTTGCTCTCAGCGCATGTGTCGATAAAAGCTTGAAAGGGATGAGAGGTCTGGAAAGCGACGAGCTGTTCTGGATCAGAAACAGGTACGCATGAGCAGCAAGGCGAGTTCCTATGTTGGTCTGGAACCGACCTCCCTGTAGGCAGGACGCTCCCCGGACGCAAGTCCGGGCAGCCTAATAAAAATCTGGGCAGGTGAAAAAATCTGCGAGGAAGTGGGGAGGCGGACTTGACATTGCCCAAAGATGTATAGTTTAGCTTAGAGTGAACGACGGCTGCTTAATGCCCGCGGCCCCACTTGCGAGGTAAGTGGGTTATTATTCTTGTTGTCGAGGTGCGTGCACCTCCATCACAACAATGTGTGTGTTTGAAAATCATCTGACGTTCCCGCAGGTCGATCGTATGTGTGACAATCGTTTGAAAAACGTACAAAAAACCTACAAAAATCGTTTGTCCCTCTTGAGACGTTTTGGAGACACTATTCGTATGTTTCCGCTCAATGTTTCTTGCCTGTTGCTGCAGCATTAGGGTTTCGCGACTAAGAGGGGTTGGAGCTGGTCTCCTTGCTTGGAAGATTTGTGGTGTGAACCTGCTCTCGATATAAATGTCTCCTTTTTACTTCTGTGCATTGTTTGTTACAGCAAAACCTTTGAAGATTATTTCTTGAATTTGTAAATCTCATTAAGAACATGGGTTTCAAAGTGTCATATTTAACCAATAGTTATTGATTTTGCACCTTTTAGATTAAAGAAATGCCTAAAAATATCAATATCATCACAAAAATCATGTGGTGGAAAACCTCTCATGAAGTGTTTTTGTTGTGTTTTTGCAGATGATTTGAAGATGTAGGGGTCGGTACTTTTTTCGAAGAAAGTATCGAACTTTTTCCAGATGATCTGTCAGATGCTTTGCAGATAATTGGAGTGTTTTTAAACAGTTTCGAAATGGTTGTGAGGAACTTCTCATTGTGTTTGGGATAACTTGTTTAACTTATATTATGTGCTTCAAATTTGGACTTGGAAAATGTTTGCTATTTACTTTTATATGCATATAAAAATCTTGGAAAGGGTTTATGGGGTATAATGCATAAACATAATCGGTGTTTGAAAAACCCTGTTGGTAGTTTCTTTAGCACTTTCCATAAATACACCGTAAGAGGGAAGGCATGTACGTGTAAATCATAATATTAGCTTGAAAAGGGTTACAACACATTAGAGGCCTACTTAATCTCTGGTGGTTCTGCTCTACTCTACTAATCATCCTAGGTTAATGACACCTGCACTACTACTACCCGCCTGTGGTTCCCCTGCTCCCCTCCCTGTTTTGGTTTCTCTCCTCCCTTCCCTGCTGTGGTTCCTCTGCTCCCCTCCCTGCTGTGGTTCCTCTCCTCCCTTCCCTGCTGTGGTTCCTATGCTCCCCTCCCTGCTATGGTTCCTCTCCTCCCGTCCCTGCTGTGGTTCCCCTGCTCCTCTCCCTGCTGTGGTTCCTCTCCTCCCCTCCCTGCTGTGGTTCCCCTGCTGTGACTCCTCTCCTCCCTTCACTGCTGTGGTTACCCTGCTACCCTCCCTGTTGTGGTTCCTCTCCTCCCTTCCCTGCTGTGGTTTCACTCCTCCCTTCGCTGCTGTGGTTCCCATGCTCCCCTCCCTGCTATGGTTCTTCTCCTCCCTTCCCTGCTGTGGTTTCCCTACTCCTCTCCCTGCTGTGGTTCCTCTCCTCCCCTCCCTGCTGTGGTTCCCCTGCTCCTCTCCCTGCTGTGACTCCTATCTTCCCTTCCCTGCTGTGGGTACCCTGCTACCCTCCCTGTTGTGGTTTCTCTCCTCCCTTCCCTGCTGTGGTTCCCATGCTCCCCTCCCTGCTATGGTTCCTCTCCTCCCTTCTCTGCTGTGGTTCCCCTGCTCCTCTCCCTGCTGTGGTTCCTCTCCTCCCCTCCCTGCTGTGACTCCTCTCCTCCCTTCCCTGCTGTGGTTACCCTGCTAGCCTCCCTGTTGTGGTTCCTCTCCTCCCTTCCCTGATGTGGTTCCCATGCTCCCCTCCCTGCTATGGTTCCTCTCCCCCCGTCCCTGCTGTGGTTCCCTTGCTCCTCTCCCTGCTGTGGTTCCTCTCCTCCCCTCCCTGCTGTGACTCCTCTCCTCCCTTCCCTGCTGTATTTACCCTGCTAGCCTCCTTGTTGTGGTTCCTCTCCTCCCTTCCCTGCTGTGGTTCCTATGCTCCCCTCCCTGCTATGGTTCCTCTCCTCCCGTCCCTGCTGTGGTTCCCCTGCTCCTCTCCCTGCTGTGGTTCCTCTCCTCCCCTCCCTGCTGTGGTTCCCCTGCTCCCCTCCCTGCTGTGACTCCTCTCCTCCCTTCACTGCTGTGGTTACCCTGCTACCCTCCCTGTTGTGGTTCCTCTCCTCCCTTCCCTGCTGTGGTTTCACTCCTCCCTTCGCTGCTGTGGTTCCCATGCTCCTCTCCCTGCTATGGTTCCTCTCCCCCCTTCCCTGCTGTGGTTTCCCTACTCCTCTCCCTGCTGTGGTTCCTCTCCTCCCTTCCCTGCTGTGGTTCCCCTGCTCCTCTCCCTGCTGTGGTTCCTCTCCTCCCCTCCCTGCTGTGACTTCTCTCCTCCCTTCCCTGTTGTGGTTTCTCTCCTCCCTTCCCAGCTGCGGTTGCCATGCTCCCCTCCCTGCAATGGTTCCTCTCCTCCCTTCCCTGCTGTGGTTCCCCTGCTCCTCTCCCTGCTGTGGTTCCCCTGCTCCTCTCCCTGCTGTGGTTCCCTTGCTCCCCTCCCTGCTGTGGTTCCTCTCCTCCCCTCCCTGTTGTGGTTCCCCCGCTCCCCTCCCTGCTGTGACTCCTATCCTCCCTTCCCTGCTGTGGTTCCTCTCCTCCCCTCCCTGCTGTGACTCCTCTCCTCCCTTCCGTGCTGTGGTTCCTCTCCTCCCTTCCCTGCTGTGGTTCCCATGCTCCCCTCCCTGCTATGGTTCCTCTCCTCCCTTCCCTGCTGTGGTTCCCCTGCTCCTCTCCCTGCTGTGGTTCCTCTCCTCCCCTCCCTGCTGTGGTTCCCCTGCTCCCCTCCCTGCTGTGGTTCCTATCCTCCCTTCCCTGCTGTGGTTACCCTGCTACCCTCCCTGTTGTGGTTTCTCTCCTCCCTTCCCTGCTGTGGTTCCCCTGCTCCTCTCCCTGCTGTGGTTCCTCTTCTCCCCTCCCTGCTGTGACTCCTCTCCTCCCTTCCCTGCTGTGACTCATATCCTCCCTTCCCTGCTGTGACTCCTCTCCTCCCTTCCTTGCAATTCCACCATTCCTCTCCTCTAGACGTGCCCTGCCGCCACCCTCCTTGTCGGATAGCGGGGCTGCGGTCTTGGCCTATACTGGTCGAACCCCGACTCATGGACGAACAAGCCGAAATCCCCCCACTTAAACCCCTTCATCCGTGGGTCGTAGATAGGGTTAACCTGGCTGAAATGATCCATCACCGCCCGCTTCACCGCCCTGCGGATGCTTGCCACCCACCGCGTGTTCTTTCGGTGGGAGTTTGTGAGGTTCATCGTCGACTTCTTGACCTTCGACAAGCCGTAGTCAATCTGCATTGTCAAAATAGGGGAGCATGGACAGATTCAAGCACGATAAGTGTGAGAGGTCGGAATCATGTGGGTCAATCACAACATCCAGTGAAGTACGCCATGGTGATAGAGTGTGAGAATGAAAGGTGATAGAGGAGTGGGGCAACTTCTGAAAGGAAGAGGAAACCACATAGTGTTTGGAAACACAGGAGGGGAAGGATACTGATGGGTACTGCATGGACGTGGGGGGATTGGTGAAAAATATTAACAACGTAAGCCCGTGAGTGGAAGCGTGAACCCAGAGTGGGCGCACCTCCCCTGGGCAGGTGGATACCAAGGTCTCAAGAAGCACCTGAGAGGGAGATGGAAACACGGGGGTTTAAGGTTTACACGGGATGGCACGGGTTTACCAAGGAGAAAAGTGTGGGATGAGAAACAAGTAAAAGGACCCTCACAAGCCACTCACCACCAAGATAATCCAGGCAATATGATACGCCTTCAAGCATATGTCGTTTCCCACGGCAAATTCACCGAAGGCGTCCATTGCTGCGTTGAAGAAGATCTCGTTGCCGAACGGGAGATCAGTAACCTCAGCATTTCCCCATGTGCTCAGTTGGGCGTCCGCACCTGCAACACACTCGAACGAAGGTGGTTAAAGGGGCGGGGTGTGGAAAGGGTGGATGGGCTGGCGAATCACAGGTTTCTACAACGGTCTATGGAAAATGAACGCCAAGATATGGAGTACGGAATATGGGGTGTGGGGGGAGGGGGGGGAGGGTGGGGGAAAAGGTCATGCAGGTGTTTACTCACTCGGGCCATACTCCCCCCATAGTTCCTCCTTGAGATCGGTGTCGACGTGGATTTCCGCTGCCCGCAAGCCACTCATGGGAACTCCCAACCCCTCGAGCACGGTCCGTTTGATGTAGAACCCACGTTCATTCTTCCACTGCGTATACATGCGCTTGAATGCATCCCTCCGTGTTTTATCCGCCATGGCCTCTTTCAGCAATATCAATTGAACCACATAGTGCTTGGAAATGACTTCGTGCAAAACAAGAATCCGCTTCTCAAAGCTTGGGTAGAACGTGATAAGATGGTCCTCAGCTTCCATACACATGCGCGTCCGAGCATCTTCCATGTAGAGCTGTTAATTATGGAGTTAAAGTGAGACACAATGTAAAGGTAAACCACTAAGACAGCGGAACTGCAAATATAACCATCTTAAAAGAAAAGCCAGAGGAAACTGGAATTGTATGAGCCATGGATGAACCATTGCCACGGATGGGCCAGCCACTGGGATTGGAAACCAGGAGATTGATTATGATAAGAGCATAGCAAAGACTGAAACCGGCTCGTGAAACAGCAGGTAAAACCAGGGACTATGAATGAGACTGAGCAAATGCACGGATTGGAATAAGAGAATGAGAATGCTGGGAGCCATTTGGGTGATAAAGATGGGTGAACCAGAACATGATAAAGAGGGGTATACCAGAGGATGAGGAGGGTTGAACCAGAAAATAAGGGCAATGTGTAAACCAAGAAATGGGAATGTGGGCTAAACCATAGATTGTGAATGAGAAAAAGTCACGGTAGAGAATGAAACCATCGAATGAAAACAGAGAGTGGGAATGACTAGACAAACAAAGAATGATTATGCACGGTTGGGAATAAATGGATGAGGTAATCTGCAGGCCAGCGAGTAGGGTGCAGCAATCGGTAGGGGATAGGGGTGGCACTTACCTTCAGGTTGGTCGCGTTTGGCATCCCATGCCTCCTGTTGATGGGAGTGCCTTGAACATCACTCTCCGCCACAGCGCCCGGCATTTCGGGCGGCTCAGTTTGTTCACTGGAGATCGAGGTAAGCGGCGGGACTTGCGTCCCGTTTCCCCCACGGTCCACCGAAGGTCCCCGACCGGCCTTAAGCTCTGCAATCTGCCGATTTGCTTCCTGCAAAGCCTGGAAGAGTTGCTGCATGGAATCATTAGGGGTGCTGCATGAGGGAATGATGGGCACTCCGCCAGCGTCGAGCGGGGAATTGCCTCTTGCCGATGCAAACGGGGGAGGAGTTGCTGGGTCAGAGCGTCCAACTTTCCTTTCATCATTGTACCAATCTCCAACACCACCCGCCTCACCATCATTCCCCCCCAGCCCCCCACCACAGGCCGGATCGTCACTACCACCGAATGGATTGTGCGTGCTGTCATGCTGCTGGCCAGCGTTGTCACGCACACTCCGATCTTGAAATCTAGATGCTCTCTTTCCCAATCCTGAGGTGGAAGCAAGGGCAGCATACGGATCGTTGGTTGCTGCCCGTTTCATCCGAACGTTCTCCCGACGATTCGACGGACCAGCATCATCCGAGTCCACCATGGTCCTCATCTCATTGTAGAAGCCAAGATCCTGTCTCACAACAGGACGCTCCTTACGACGCCGCCGGGTGTACCCCTCAGTATCTGCTAGCTTTCCTTGAGCACACTCTCTACGTCTCTGCCGTTTACGTCCACTACCAGCCTTACCACCGGTTGCATGACCACGCTTTCCGCTAAAGCGGTGGCTGCGCGCACCTCGTGCCCTCCCCCCTCTCCTACCGTCGTCATCACTCCCGGACCCAGATTCAACGTCATCACTCTCGTCCTCTTCCTCATCATACTTCTCCTCACTCCCGGATGAGCTCCCTGATTCCTCCTCAGAACTATCTTCTCCATCAGAAGATTCGACCTCAGCAACGGCCTTCTTTCCAGCCTTTCTGGACCGTGCCTTCACCCTCCCTGACACCCCCCTCTGATCTTCTAGCTCCGCGCCACGGCTCTCCCTCCCACCCTCCGAATGCCCTCGAACATTGTGTGCATCGGCCGCACGAACACCTGCTGGAGTAGAGGGAGAAGACGCATCATGCTTCATATCACGCTCTCCCTCACGCTTCACCCCACGCTCCCCCACACGCTTCACATCACGCTCTCCCTCACGCTGTCCCTCTCGCTCTCCCTCACGCTCTCCCTCTCGCTCTCCCTCACGCTCTCCCTCACGCTCTCCCACACGCTCAGCCTCACGCTCTCCCTCCTGCCTGCCCTCACGCCTGCCTTCACGCCTGCCCTCAAGCCCTCCCTCACGCCTGCCCTCACGCTCCCCATCACGCTCATCCCCACGCTCATGCCCTTTCTCTGGCAGTTGCTCCTTGTCATCTACATCTTCAACAAGTCCTGTTGCACCAGCGGGGTCCTGTCTTTCTTTTTTCTTTTTCTTGGCTCCAGCGAGGGTACCTACAACACGCATGAAGGACGATACGCTCAGTTAATAGGAGGGCAGCACCTCTCTGGATTGGGTGCGACTACATCCAGGTTATTAACGAGCAACTTTAAGACATACAAAGTTGAAGAAGCTGGATAAAAGCTCATTGCGTACCTTTCCTCCCTGTAGCAGGTTTGCACTGGTCCAACGGCTTCAGCTTTCGACCATTCCTCCGCCCGCGTGAACCGCCGCGTCTAACCTTGCCATCGTATGCCTCTTCTTCAGATTCCTCACTATCCGATGAAGATGCCCCTTCCGATTCAACCTGGGCATCGCGTGCAGGAAGTGTGTTCTTCCGACGATACCGCACAACTAGCTGGGAGGTAGCTTGAGGCGTCATCTTGTCGTGCAAGTTCTGTCCTGCGTCGGGTTTCGCGTCGCCCGAGGGATGTAGAGCTCCAGCGCTACCGAGGAGCGCACTAGCAGTGGCCTGTTCAGTAACGATTATGTCCGCCATGCTTCTATCAATTCCGCTAAACAAGCCCAATTAACGGCTACAGAACAGAGCTGTGCATCCCTAAGGTTTATATATTCTTTAAATATGCCTTAGAGACGCAAGGAACAGCAGCGCGCGATCTGGACGTGCCTGCCAGAACAGCAGCTCGCAAGCGCACTACGTGCCCGCGAAACGCGCTGACCAAAGTCCTGCGAGATAGAACAGCCGCGAAACGCGCCATTGCTGGACGCGCCGTCAGAGAACAGAACCGCGGCGCCAAAGCAGGACGAGCCCACTACGAGACCCGCAGCGCCGCGCCAAGTGGTACGACTACGAGAACAGCACCGCCGCGTCTAGCAGGACGTGCATACTACGAGAACATCATCGCCGCGCCAAACAGTACGAGTCTACTACGAGAACAGCACCGCCGCGCCAAAGCAGGACGTGCCTACTACGAGAACAGCTCCGTGACGGCTATTACGTGGCTAGCACTAACAGCTCTCACTTTGCATCGAGTGCCAGAGGGAACATCGGCATTGACTAACAGATAGCATTTGCTTGACGTGCCTACCGTAGAAGGCGTTCGTGAGGAGAACAACACTGCTACCAGCTAGACAAACTGGGTGCTTCGGACGTGGAGGGTATCGTCGTCTCAACTCCCCTCCTGAGCATCGGCATCAATGCTTTGTTCCTGTAACGAATTCTCATATGGCAGCACGACGGGTGGTGGTGGTGGATCGCAACAGTTTAACTGCCCTTGAAGTTGCAAGGGACGCGCTGGCAATGAGCCATTTTTTCAAATCATAGATTACAGCAGCCTAATAGGGCTAGAACGCCTAAGCCCGAACTAGGAAGTAATTACTACACGCGTGAGTACGGGAACTGAACCAGGCCTTGCCGCGCAACAAAATAACAAGGAAAAAAAAACACAATGCATTGTGACAGCAGCAAATTGGCAGCGCATTGTCGGCGCATTGGAGCCGTGATGGATTTCGAACATCGCGGTTCGGGAAGGCCCCTCGTGGTTACGTTGAAACTTCGATCACGTGGCACCACTCTTTGTAGCGAGGATGTATAACGTCTGGCGATATATGAATATGACGAGTTTGGGTAATATTGGAATCCTTGTACCTAGCCTCATTTCAAATCTAGGCAAATCAAAGGGTGTTTAGAAACAACAATCCTTCACGCATAAACTAGCACTCTCGAAAACAACATATACGGTATCTCCCACAAAAACATCATCGGCAAGATAGGGTGAATACTAGGCGTGAGTGACTTACATCGACTTGGCGAACGTCGATAAACACTATGCAATTGTTGAGAGCAAGCACAGTTAGTTTCACACCAACAACTGGCTTGCCAAGTAGATGTAACAGCCCTGGTGAATATGAAAGCTGCAGAGTGGCCTCATTACTACGTTCATGGGCCGATGCATACCACCTTATCTAGGGTGCGGCAGTAGAACGATATTGTGTTTACCTTAGGTGCATGTGATTGTGTTGGAGCGGGTCCTGACACTATGTAATGGATTGCGTAGAGCTCACCGTCTGGTGTAAAACAGTTACCATACTGTCAGGCAAGTTTGCATCAAACGTTGAGGGTGACGATGCAGCAGAACGTCAGGTGCAAATGCATGTCACCAACTACTAGCAAGCAGACTTAGGGGTATCGATCAGCCTGAATCAAAGAGCTTGCTTTGTCATAGACACAGGACCACCTAGCCAAATCGTGACGATATTGGCGCCTCCACTGTCTTGGCGTCCCGACCAAGTCACACGCATTCAAACTGCCAAACTTGGTCTCGACAAGTGTATGAATGACACGCATCACAAAAACGCCACAGTCATTCTCGTTGTCCTGCTGACGCACCTGCAGAACGAACAAGAATCAGGTGGCCCATAAAAGGCGTTATCATGAGCAGCTTTTAGCTGTGAAGCACGCATCCCATGCCTGTCCATGTGCAGCACTCAACTCCCCCTTCCCTACACATCTGCGCATCCCATCCCATGAGAAAGGAGGGCTGGAAGGCGACGAGGAGGAGGAAGCGAGGAGAGGAGGGCTTGAAGGCAACGTGGAGGAGGAAGCGAGGAGAGGAGGGCTGGAAGGCAACGAGGAGGAGGAAGCGAGGAGAGGAGGGCTGGAAGGCAACGAGGAGGAGGAAGCGAGGAGAGGAGGGCTGGAAGGCAACGAGGAGGAGGAAGCGAGGAGAGGAGGGCTGGAAGGCAACGAGGAGGAGGAAGCGAGGAGAGGAGGGCTGGAAGGCAACGAGGAGGAGGAAGCGAGGAGAGGAGGGCTGGAAGGCCCTTCCCTACGCATCACACAACTCCCTTCCCTACTCATTCCGCACGCCCCGGTCCTGTCCATGCGCATCACACAACTCCCTTCCCTACTCATTCCGCACGCCCCATGCCTGTCCATGCGCATCACACAACTCCCTTCCCTACTCATTCCGCACGGCCCATGCCTGTCCATGCGCATCACACAACTCCCTTCCCTACTCATTCCGCACGCCCCATGCCTGTCCATGCGCATCACACAACTCCCTTCCCTACTCATTCCGCACGCCCCCTGCCTGTCCATGCGCATCACACAACTCCCTTCCCTACTCATTCCGCACGGCCCATGCCTGTCCATGCGCATCACACAACTCCCTTCCCTACTCATTCCGCACGCCCCATGCCTGTCCATGCGCATCACACAACTCCCTTCCCTACTCATTCCGCACGCCCCCTGCCTGTCCATGCGCATCACACAACTCCCTTCCCTACTCATTCCACACGCCCCATGCCTGTCCATGCGCATCACACAACTCCCTTCCCTACTCATTCCGCACGCCCCATGCCTGTCCATGCGCATCACACAACACTCCCTTCCCTACTCATTCCGCACGCCCCATGCCTGTCCATGCGCATCACACAACACTCCCTTCCCTACTCATTCCGCACGCCCCATGCCTGTCCATGCGCATCACACAATTCCCTTCCCTACTCATTCCGCACGCCCCATGCCTGTCCATGCGCATCACACAACTCCCTTCCCTACTCATTCCGCACGCCCCCTGCCTGTCCATGCGCATCACACAACTCCCTTCCCTACTCATTCCGCACGGCCCATGCCTGTCCATGCGCATCACACAACTCCCTTCCCTACTCATTCCGCACGCCCCATGCCTGTCCATGCGCATCACACAACTCCCTTCCCTACTCATTCCGCACGCCCCCTGCCTGTCCATGCGCATCACACAACTCCCTTCCCTACTCATTCCGCACGCCCCATGCCTGTCCATGCGCATCACACAACTCCCTTCCCTACTCATTCCGCACGCCCCCTGCCTGTCCATGCGCATCACACAACTCCCTTCCCTACTCATTCCACATGCCCCATGCCTGTCCATGCGCATCACACAACTCCCTTCCCTACTCATTCCGCACGCCCCATGCCTGTCCATGCGCATCACACAACACTCCCTTCCCTACTCATTCCGCACGCCCCATGCCTGTCCATGCGCATCACACAACTCCCTTCCCTACTCATTCCGCACGCCCCATGCCTGTCCATGCGCATCACACAATTCCCTTCCCTACTCATTCCGCACGCCCCATGCTTGTCCATGCGCATCACACAACTCCCTTCCCTACTCATTCCTCACGGCCCATGCCTGTCCATGCGCATCACACAATTCCCTTCCCTACTCATTCCGCACGCCCCATGCCTGTCCATGCGCATCACACAACTCCCTTCCCTACTCATTCCGCACGCCCCCTGCCTGTCCATGCGCATCACACAACTCCCTTCCCTACTCATTCCACACGCCCCATGCCTGTCCATGCGCATCACACAACTCCCTTCCCTACTCATTCCGCACGCCCCATGCCTGTCCATGCGCATCACACAACACTCCCTTCCCTACTCATTCCGCACGCCCCATGCCTGTCCATGCGCATCACACAATTCCCTTCCCTACTCATTCCGCACGCCCCATGCCTGTCCATGCGCATCACACAACTCCCTTCCCTACTCATTCCGCACGCCCCATGCCTGTCCATGCGCATCACACAACTCCCTTCCCTACTCATTCCGCACGCCCCCTGCCTGTCCATGCGCATCACACAACTCCCTTCCCTACTCATTCCACATGCCCCATGCCTGTCCATGCGCATCACACAACTCCCTTCCCTACTCATTCCGCACGCCCCATGCCTGTCCATGCGCATCACACAACACTCCCTTCCCTACTCATTCCGCACGCCCCATGCCTGTCCATGCGCATCACACAACTCCCTTCCCTACTCATTCCGCACGCCCCATGCCTGTCCATGCGCATCACACAATTCCCTTCCCTACTCATTCCGCACGCCCCATGCTTGTCCATGCGCATCACACAACTCCCTTCCCTACTCATTCCTCACGGCCCATGCCTGTCCATGCGCATCACACAATTCCCTTCCCTACTCATTCCGCACGCCCCATGCCTGTCCATGCGCATCACACAACTCCCTTCCCTACTCATTCCGCACGCCCCCTGCCTGTCCATGCGCATCACACAACTCCCTTCCCTACTCATTCCACACGCCCCATGCCTGTCCATGCGCATCACACAACTCCCTTCCCTACTCATTCCGCACGCCCCATGCCTGTCCATGCGCATCACACAACACTCCCTTCCCTACTCATTCCGCACGCCCCATGCCTGTCCATGCGCATCACACAATTCCCTTCCCTACTCATTCCGCACGCCCCATGCCTGTCCATGCGCATCACACAACTCCCTTCCCTACTCATTCCGCACGCCCCATGCCTGTCCATGCGCATCACACAACTCCCTTCCCTACTCATTCCGCACGCCCCATGCCTGTCCATGCGCATCACACAACTCCCCCTTCCCTACTCATTCCGCGCGTCCCATGCCTGTCCATGCGCATCACACAACTCTCCCTTCCCTACTCATTCCGCGCGTCCCATGCCTGTCCATGCGCATCACACAACTCCCCCTTCCCTACTCATTCCGCGCGTCCCATGCCTGTCCATGCGCATCACACAACGCACCCTCCCGTACACGCACCCTCCCACACCACTCGTCCACTAATCTGTGAAATCACATACCGCTATGGCCTTTAACTGAATCGCTGCTGCCCACGCTTTTGCTTCTGTCTCCGTGACCCATGCGTAGCGCTGCATGACCTGGCTCATCAAACACCTGCGCAATGAGACTACTGGCTTGTTAACATCGGTTCCGAACAAGGGCGTTTCATACGCAACACATGATACCGTACTTTCTCAATGGTCCATCAATGTCGACGTGAGTTGCATATGAGTCCGCATGCCACAGGACACACTTGATCGGGATAAGGGATCCCGGAGCGTGGGTAATTTCGATGACAGCCAGGCTCCAGTGCGCACTGCAATGTAATCGAGACCTCCAAAGTCGTTAGTTTGTAGCACATGTTTACGTTCAACACATTAATAAAAAGGCCCGACCACTTACTCCTTGTTAATCGGAACAAGAACGCGCTTAAACGACAAAATATCAAGTCCATATGCCTGCCTAGTGATCCTCTTCGACCCCGGGCGTGCTACGAGGGTCCAGAAATAAGGCGATGTGCAAAGCCACGACGCACTGTCGAGTCCGTACTCATAGTGTAACATACTGCAGGATCGTGAAGAAAATATACAAAGTCGGTGCACGTCGTGAGAAACTAGAAACAAGGGATAACACATCAGTTTGTTCTGTGTTCAACGCAGAGCCACTCACGATGAGAGCCACTCGATAACCGTGCCACTGATCCACTGCTCGTTTCCTAGCGTGCGGTAATCTGAGGGCTTAATTTCAAGGGATCCCCCAAACGGGGATGGCATGCTCATGTGCTGGAAACGACATCGCGATAACTTGGGTATGCCCTTCTCCTCCATACCTTGAGATAGTAAACTCACAGGTTGGGCCGGATCTTGCCTTAGGTCGAAATTCCGTTGCCAAGGCAGCTCAAAGCAAAGTCGAAGCAGGTACTGTAGTTGCTGAAGCAGGACCCACACGCCCTTGCTTTTCGTTGGTCAACTTTGTGCCACATCCCTGCTCCCATACGTCGTCAGCAAATAGCATGCTCGTGATATCCTGTCAACATGGTGAACAGTATGGAGAAGTCTGACAGGATTGTATGCTCCAATGACATTCGAGCGGCTTGTGTATTTCTGACACAATTGGCGTGTATGCGAAGACGATGTCAGGTCCATGTCGCAAGTGGAACTGTTCCCAGCTCGGTACAAAACCTCGGCAGGTTGCTGCGACAAGATAGCTGTTTTTGTACGCGACAACAGTTACAAGATGCGGAGCATGAGAGTCGCATGGCCCACTCGCCCAACTGCACGTGGTCGCGCACCAACAACTGGGTGACCTAAATTCGTGCAAAACATCACAAACCCACCTCCAATTGCACACCAGCTACCGACACCCAATAACCAATCGCCAATCAGGGTCAATGGAAACAGATGTTCAGACTCAGATCGCCAATTCGTATTCGCGCCAAACCCTTCCCTAGTAAAATACCGACCATTCGACAGGCGCTATCTCATTCTTGTGCAGGCTTACCATTCACATATCAAACTGGTGTGCCAAACACCCTTTCAGTCTTACGGACAGATCTGCTCGATGGAGCCTCACGCTTGTGAGTTTTGCAATAAGCGCGTGTACTGCTATCAATACGTAAGTAGCCATCAAGCTAACCATGACGGCTGTAAGCGGGCCCAAAAACGCAAGGCTGAAGAGGAAGCTAAACGTAATAAGCTAGACCGTGGCGTTGAAAAGCAGTATACCTCTGTTCCGTTAGCAACAGCCACCCTTCCCGCGCCAGCGCATTCAATTCCCTTAGCGGCACTTCCGAACGCAGTAGAGCAGCACCCGCAGCCGGCAGAGCGAGTTACTGATGCGGTTCGTACGTGCAGCACCACACTCGTGGTGGAAGAAGCTCCCACAGAGGAAATTCTCGATGTTAAGGCAGAAATATGCATTTTGGCACGATCTCACGGTCTTACCAACGGGGCGATAAACGACACAATACAGTTAGTTAGACATCCGAAATTAGATCCAAAGCAGCTGGACGATTGGAACAGCTACAAGGACCTAGAGAAGTATGAGAACAGCTTTGATCTTGGAGCGGAGAATGAATGGATCGTTGAGGAGATCGAAGTTGATCACGAGGTTGGGTTTCTCACCTTCAAGCGCCGAAATGCGATAACTGTGAGTGTATCCATGCGTGCGGGGTCACGTTTGTCACAGTAGAATGTGTTTTGTGAGACCGACTAAACCATCAGTCCAAATGGAACCATCAATCCTACGCTTCTGTTTTCCATCATTTTTGCCATAATCATCACCATCAGCTCCTTCAGTCCATGTTCAAGAAGATGTCGGCTGTCAAGGGATTCAGCATCATGCCTCAAGAGTGGAAGGTGGATGGGGTTCGCCGCTACAGTACCCCTGCAAACACGGATTGGATGCTCGAGGCTTGGGTAAGTTCCACGCCATCTCATGTCGCGTTGGACACGAGCATTGAAACCTAGGATCCAATACGTCTTTCCTACCCTTTATCATCACTGTGGCAGGAAAGGGTGCGGAAGTTTGGCATAGTTATAGCTCTCATTTTGTTCTCGGACCAGACCAATCTATCGTACAACGGGCGCCAATCTGCCCACCCATTTCTGTTGTCCTTTGGGAACATTCCTGAATGGGCTAGGTGGCTTGAATGAGGCACTGAGCTTCTCGGGCTCCTGCCTAACATCCCAGCTGACCTCTCGCCAGAAGAGAAGGTTCGAGTGTTCCAGGACGCTGCAGAGATCATGATTCGAGATTTAAAGGCGGCTTCACATCTTTCAGGGTGAGACACTGCTACTCTCGCCCAAAGGCACGCATCCGTTGTACTCTCCAGAATCCAGCACACTACCCTACTTATTTTCATTGTCTGTCTAATACACACTCCCCTCCCTTTTTGACCCCCCTTCTCCTCTGTTCTTCTTTCGCATGCGTGCCACGACGCAGGATTCAGTCCAAAGTACTCTGCTCCCAGCCACCATGCTTCACCTAATACCATTCGGGTTCCTCCCGTACCACCGTCTCCTGCCGTTGAAACCATCCCTGCTTGCTGTCCCCCTCCTCCTAACCGTCCTTCATCTGCTTGCTTACAGCAACCCATGCTCACACCATCACTGACATATCTAACATGGTCTCCCATCCTTGCCATACCCCCCCCTGCTTTACCCCTCATCCTGACGGCTGTGCAGGGGCGGTGTGAAGGTGGAAGACTGTGCCGGGGTGCAGTATAGTGCATTCACGCTCCTTTATTCATGGGTGGCCGATCACCCGGAGTCTTCTAAGATCACCTGTACGATGGCATGCAACTCACACCATCCGTGCTCGTTGTGCTTGGCTGAAAAGGAGGGCCTGGATGAGTTGAACTTTGAGTTGACTCAACAGCCAACTGATAAGAAGCGCCCGGATGAGCAGGATGAGACCATTATCCCCAGAAATGTCGAGGGTCTGAAGGAATCTGCGGAAACCAAAAGGAAGCAGGAAGACACCATTGTCCTTAGAACTATCAAGGGTCAGAAGGATTTTCACAAGGAGATGAAAGCCGCAAAGACCAAAAAGGAGCTGAAGGCGGTGAAGAAGAAGTCCTCTACACACTTTGTGAAGGTGCGCCTTGCCCAGCTTGCTCCGCGTGCATCCTTGTGGTTCTCATATGGTTTCCCTCCGTATCCACCATATACTGCTGTGGCTAGTGTGCCCGAAAACCTACTCCGATCTGCATCTTGCTGTTCATATTTATTATCCTGACCCGCCATAGTGAGTTTGTGCCCTTGACCCCCGACGCAGAGCCTTTTGTGGGACTGGGAATTCGCAAAAACTCTCTGGGGCAACACGTACCTTGCTGTGCCCCCGGACATCATGCACATCTGGGAGCAGGGCATATGGCTGCATGCCATGAAGTGCCTGGTGAAGAAGCTGACCCCGAGGGAACGGAAGATTCTTATGGAGTGAGTTGTTCCGCGCCTTGCTTCATGCTACTCCCCTCCGTGCTTGCTTTCCGCGCCCTGCTTCATGCTACTCCCCTCCGTGCTTGCTTTCCGCGCCCTGCTTCATGCTACTCCCCTCCGTGCTTGCTTTCCGCGCCCTGCTTCATGCTACACCCCTCCATGCTTGCTTTCCGTGCTTTGACTAACTGTTACTCATGCCTAGGCGATACAAGATTTTGAAGGAGGCCACACCAGCTTCCGTGCTACGTCTTCCTTCGGCGTGGGCCTACTTCACATCCACTGCCTGCTTTTCAGCTGCAGAGCATCGGGCGATGATGCAGGTCCTGCCCCTCATCATCAACCTCCCAGGACGAGATGATATCCGCACGGCCATTGTCAAGATGGTCGAGTGGTACAAGGAGTTCATCCGCGCTGAGTACCACACCGACGAATCTCTGGAACGGATGAAAGACGCCACCATCAAGTAATAAGTCCGTCTGTTATGTGGTTTCCCAGGCCCATCTTCTCCCTCTGCACTGCATCGCTGTCCCTCCATAACCCACCTCCGTGCTCCCTCCTTCCGTGTTTCTGTTTTCGATGTCTGCTTCCTCACTCCCCCTCCCGCATCTCGTTTCTCCCTTCCCGGCCTGCATTCCCCGTCTTAACTGCATGCCTTGTATCTAAATTTTCTCCAGGATGGTGAAGGCTCTTCGTGTCGCTTTCCCTAAGCAGAAGTCAAAGTGGAAAATTGTTAAGATTCATCTTCTCGTTCACCTCCCATCAACAATCCGTATGAGGGGGATCCCTGCCGAGTACTCGTCAAACTGCTACGAGCACTCCCACAAGACCACTGTGAAGCGTCCTTCACGTGGCACAAACTGGAAGAATGTTGAAGATCGAATCGTCCGGAAACACTTGGAGCATGCGGTGGTTAGGCAACTCGCGCGGGAGGCCGGAGGGGACAGCACGTACGAGACCTCGATGAAAGAGGTGAGTTTCACGAACCTGCTCTGTTCCCCTGCACCCCGTCGTCTGCTAAGTTTCCCTATTTTAATCCCATGCTGTGATCTCCTGAAGTGATGCCATGCTCTGTTCTCTTGCTCGGTTCCCCTCCTCTGTTCCGCTGCTCTGTTTCCCTGCTCGGTTCTCTTGCTCTCTCCCCCTGCTCTGTTTCCCTGCTCGGTTCTCCTTCTCTCTCTCCCTGCCCTGTTCCTCTAGTCATTTCCCCTTCTTTGTTATCTGCTCTGTTTCCCAGCTGTGTTCCCTACTGTGTCTTCCCCGCTCTGTTCCCTGCAGTGTTATCCTCTGGCATATTCCGTTCTGTGTCTGCCCTGCTTTGTGGCCTGTTGTATTCCCTTCAGTTTCCCTGCTATGCTCCCTTATGTGTCTGCCCTGCTCTGTGCCATGTTCAGTTTGCCCGAGCTCGGTTCTCATGCTCTCTCCCCTGCCCTGTTTCCCTGCTCGGTTCTCATGCTCCCTCCCCTGCCCTGTTTCCCTGCTCGGTTCTCATGCTCTTTCCTGCTCTGTTTCGCTGCCCGGGTCTCATGCTCTCCCCCCATGCTCTTTTTCCCTACTCGGCTCTCTTGCTCTCTCACACTGCTCTGTTCCCCTCGTCATTTCCCCTTCTTTGTTATCCGCTCTGTTACCCTGCTATGTTCCATGCTGTGTCTCCCCTACTCGGTGCCCTGTTCTGTTTCCCTGCTCTGTTCCCTGCGCTGTTACCCTGCCATGTTCCGTTCTGTGTCTGCCCTGCTCTGTGCCCTGCTCTGTTCCCTTCACCGTTTCCCTGATTTGTTCACATCTGTGTCTGCCCACCTCTGTGCCCCGCTCTGTTCCCTTCATCGTTTCCCTGATTCGTTCACTTCTGTGTCTGCCCTGCTATGTGCCCCACTCTGTTCCCTTCACTGTTTCCCTGATTTGTTCACTTCTGTGTCTGCCCTGCTATGTGCCCCGCTCTGTTCCCTTCACTGTTTCCCAGATTTGTTCACTTCTGTGTCTGCCCTGCTCTGTGCCACGTTCTGTTCGCTCGTCTCTTTGCCCGCACTTCTGTTTCCATGCTCTCTGCATGAGTTGGCAATGACATGTAGGACCAACCTAACCAAAGTCATCGATTCCTACCCCCCCATAACCTTCTTCGTCCCCACAACCTTTCCCCCTTTCCCCCACACCCATTCCCACTTCGTGGCCTTTCCCTTCTTCGCCTACACCTCGCATCCATCCCCTATCCCCCCCCCCTCCTCCTCCATCCAAAAGGACTCACCATACAACCCTCCCCCTCCCTATACCAACCCTCTCCTCTCCACGGTGACAGGCATGCCTGGCTGGCCAGAGGGTGCTTACTAAGACCCACAAGAAGATGGTCCTGGGGGACATCACCGACTCAGTGTTTCGGAGCTACGTCTTGACTGTTGGTGAACCCGCCATGAGTGCAATGGTTCTGCGACTCAGACGGGCAGGCATCAACACGCAAGTTTTGCAGGTGCATTCCCGGTCGTATGGATATGCCATTTTTTCTCACTGCCCCCACTTCCCCCTCTCCTGCATGCTTTCCACCCACTCCAGCCCCCCTTCCCCCTCTCCTGCATGCTTTCCACCCACCTTAGCCCTCATTCCCCCTCTCCTGCATGCTTTCCACCCACTCCAGCCCCCATTCCCCCTCTCCTGCATGCTTTCCACCCACTCCAGCCCCACTTCCCCCTCTCCTGCATGCTTTCCACCCACTCCAGCCCCCCCTCCCCCTCTCCTGCATGCTTTCCACCCACTCCAGCCCCACTTCCCCCTCTCCTGCATGCTTTCCACCCACTCCAGCCCCCCTTCCCCCTCTCCTGCATGCTTTCCACCCACTCCAGCCCCCCTTCCCCCTCTCCTGCATGCTTTCCACCCACTCCAGCCCCCCTTCCCCCTCTCCTGCATGCTTTCCACCCACTCCAGCCCCCCTTCCCCCTCTCCTGCATGCTTTCCACCCACTCCAGCCCCCCTTCCCCCTCTCCTGCATGCTTTCCACTCACTCCAGCCCCCCTTCCCCCTCTCCTGCATGCTTTCCACCCACTCCAGCCCCCCTTCCCCCTCTCCTGCATGCTTTCCACTCACTCCAGCCCTCCTTCCCTCTCTCCTGCATGCTTTCCACCCACTCCAGCCCCCCTTCCCCCTCTCCTGCATGCTTTCCACCCACTCCAGCCCCCCTTCCCCCTCTCCTGCATGCTTTCCACCCACTCCAGCCCCCCTTCCCCCTCTCCTGCATGCTTTCCACCCACTCCAGCCCCCCTTCCCCCTCTCCTGCATGCTTTCCACCCACTCCAGCCCCCCTTCCCCGTCTCCTGCATGCTTTCCACCCACTCCAGCCCCCATTCCCCCTCTCCTGCATGCTTTCCACCCACTCCAGCCCCCCTTCCCCCTCTCCTGCATGCTCTCCACCCACTCCAGCCCCACTTCCTCCTCTCCTGCATGCTTTCCACCCACTCCAGCCCCCCTTCCCCCTCTCCTGCATGCTTTCCACCCACTCCAGCCCCCATTCCCCCTCTCCTGCATGCTTTCCACCCACTCCAGCCCCACTTCCCCCTCTCCTGCATGCTTTCCACCCACTCCAGCCCCCCCTCCCCCTCTCCTGCATGCTTTCCACCCACTCCAGCCCCACTTCCCCCTCTCCTGCATGCTTTCCACTCACTCCAGCCCCCCTTCCCCCTCTCCTGCATGCTTTCCACCCACCTTAGCCCCCATTCCCCCTCTCCTGCATGCTTTCCACCCACTCCAGCCCCCATTCCCCCTCTCCTGCATGCTTTCCACCCACTCCAGCCCCCCTTCCCCCTCTCCTGCATGCTCTCCACCCACTCCAGCCCCACTTCCTCCTCTCCTGCATGCTTTCCACCCACTCCAGCCCCCCTTCCCCCTCTCCTGCATGCTTTCCACCCACTTTAGCCCCCCTTCCCACTCTCCTGCATGCTTTCCACTCACTCCAGCCGCACTTCCCCCTCTCCTGCATGCTTTCCACCCACTCCAGCCCCCCTTCCCCCTCTCCTGCATGCTTTCCACCCACTTTAGCCCCCCTTCCCCCTCTCCTGCATGCTTTCCACCCACTCCAGCCCCCATTCCCCCTCTCCTGCATGCTTTCCAACCACTCCAGCCCCACTTCCCCCTCTCCTGCATGCTTTCCACCCACTCCAGCCCCCCCTCCCCCTCTCCTGCATGCTTTCCACCCACTCCAGCCCCACTTCCCCCTCTCCTGCATGCTTTCCACCCACTCCAGCCCCCCTTCCCCCTCTCCTGCATGCTTTCCACCCACCTTAGCCCCCATTCCCCCTCTCCTGCATGCTTTCCACCCACTCCAGCCCCCATTCCCCCTCTCCTGCATGCTCTCCACCCACTCCAGCCCCACTTCCCCCTGTCCTGCATGCTTTCCACCCACTCCAGCCCCCCTTCCCCCTCTCCTGCATGCTTTCCACCCACTCCAGCCCCCCTTCCCCCTCTCCTGCATGCTTTCCGCTCACTCCAGCCGCACTTCCCCCTCTCCTGCATGCTTTCCACCCACTCCAGCCCCCCTTCCCCCTCTCCTGCACGCTTTCCACTCACTCCAGCCCCCCTTCCCCCTCTCCTGCATGCTTTCCACCCACTCCAGCCCCCCTTCCCCCTCTCCTGCATGCTTTCCACTCACTCCAGCCCTCCTTCCCTCTCTCCTGCATGCTTTCCACCCACTCCAGCCCCCCTTCCCCCTCTCCTGCATGCTTTCCACCCACTCCAGCCCCCCTTCCCCCTCTCCTGCATGCTTTCCACCCACTCCAGCCCCCCTTCCCCCTCTCCTGCATGCTTTCCACCCACTCCAGCCCCCCTTCCCCCTCTCCTGCATGCTTTCCACCCACTCCAGCCCCCCTTCCCCCTCTCCTGCATGCTTTCCACTCACTCCAGCCGCACTTCCCCCTCTCCTGCATGCTTTCCACCCACTCCAGCCCCCCTTCCCCCTCTCCTGCATGCTTTCCACTCACTCCAGCCCCCCTTCCCCCTCTCCTGCATGCTTTCCACCCACTCCAGCCCCCCTTCCCCCTCTCCTGCATGCTTTCCACTCACTCCAGCCCTCCTTCCCTCTCTCCTGCATGCTTTCCACTCACTCCAGCCCCCCTTCCCCCTCTCCTGCATGCTTTCCACCCACTCCAGCCCCCCTTCCCCCTCTCCTGCATGCTTTCCACCCACTCCAGCCCCCCTTCCCCCTCTCCTGCATGCTTTCCACCCACTCCAGCCCCCCTTCCCCCTCTCCTGCATGCTTTCCACCCACTCCAGCCCCCCTTCCCCCTCTCCTGCATGCTTTTCCACCCACTCCAGCCCCCCTTCCCCCTCTCCTGCATGCTTTCCACCCACTCCAGCCCCCCTTCCCCCTCTCCAAAATGCTTTCCACCCACTCCAGCCCCCCTTCCCCCTCTCCAAAATGCTTTCCACCCACTCCAGCCCCCTTTCCCCCTCTCCTGCATGCTTTCCACCCACTCCAGCCCCCCTTCCCCCTCTCCAAAATGCTTTCCACCCACTCCAGCCCCCCTTCCTCCTCTCCAACCTGCTTTTCCACCCACTCCAGCCCTTTGCCAATTTCCCCCTTTCGCTATGCTCTCCACGGCCTCTTTCGCTGCTTTCACATTGTCGTGGTTCATGCTCGTGGTTTCAGGTGCACACGGCACTTGCGATTCCGCCTCACGACAAGATGGAATGGACGTCAAGGGGGCAGTTTGTCAAGGCTAGCCCGGGCGAGAAGAACTTCTCATCTGTTGCAATCAACCCTGCAGGGAAGGGGTCCCCCTGGTACGGCCGTTGTCTTGTCCTGTTTCACTACAACAAAGATGGGGAGCTGAGGCGCGGAGCATACGTGGAGTATTACACCGAGGACAAGCGACTATGCCCGTCAACGGGATGCAAGCGCCTTCTACCCACAGAGGGTGAGGATGATTTTGCAGTGATTGATGTCGACTGCATTCTCAGTCTCGTACACATTGTTCCCTCATGTGAGGACGATGAAGTGAGCCTTCTTAATAGATTCGTTTGGTGAGGTCTAGCACACGTAGAGAACTTTGACGCATTGTGACTTTTGTAAACATGAAATTGTTCCCTGACTATGTTCTTTTGTAAGAATATAATAGGTGTAAAATTTCCTTCAAATAGTTAAACATGACTCTTGGAAGCACTATTTACATAGAGAAAATTACATCATCATATTCAAAGAAACATAAGTGCAAATGTCATGAATGTAACAAATGGTACACAAAAGCCTAAACGAGGAATTCTTGGAGAGAATCAAATTTCTCGCTATCTGCTCCCTCGCGAAGAGACATGCTCGACTATCTGTTAGGCCCGGAACCCTAATCCTGCGCACAAGCAAGAAATAGTTAGGAGCAAACATTCAGAATGTGACTGGAAAACATTCCGCCGAAGGCAAACGTTTTTTAGAGTTTCCCTGTACGTTTTTCAAACGATTGTCAAACGTACGATAGGCTGCCGCGAATGTCAGATGATTTTCAGACACACGCATTTTTGTGATGATTCTAGGTTTAAAATCAACGTTTACCACAGTCACATTGGGTCAAAGGCCTCACCATACAAATCTGTTGAGGAGGCTCACTTCATCGTCCTCGCACGAGGGTACAATGTGCACGAGACTAAGAATGCAGTCTACATCGATCACCGCATAATTATCAACGCCCTCTGTGGGTAAAAGACGCTTGCATCCCGTCGACAGGCATTGTCGCTTGTCTTCGGTGTAGTACTCCACATATGCGCCTCGCCTCAGCTCACCACCCTTGTTGTAATGAAACAGCACAAGGCAACGGCCATACCACGGGGATCCCTTCCCTGCAGGGTTGATCGCAATCGACGAGAAGTTTTGCTGGGTTGGGCTAGCCTTGACGAACTGCCCCCTTGACGTCCATTCCATCTTATCGTGTGGCGGGATCGCAAGTGCCGTGTGCACCTGACACCACGAGCATTCAACAAAGAAAAAGGGAAAGCAGCGAAAGAGGGGGTGGAGAGCATAAGGGAAATGGGGTATTGGCCAAGGTTTGCATGGACAGCAGTCTGGAGAGGGGGAACCAGGGGCAGATGGGGTGGAAAGCAAGCAGGAGAGGGGGAACCAGGGGTGGATGGGGTGGAAAGCAAGCAGGAGAAGGGGAACCAGGGGTGGATGGGGTGGAAAGCAAGCAGGAGAGGGGAATGCACCTGCAAGACTTGCGTGTTGATGCCCGCCTGTTTGAGGCGCAGAACCATCGCACTCATGGCGGGTTCACCCAGCGTCAAGACGTAGCTCCGGAACACCGAGTCGGTGATGTCTCCAATGACCATCTTCTTGTGGGTCTTAGTAAGCACCCTCCGGCCAGCCAGGCATGCCTGTCACCGTGAAGATGAGAGGGTTGGTATAGGGAGGGGGTGGGGTGAATGGTGTGGGCATTTGGAGGGTGGAAGAGAGGGTGGGGGAGGGGATTGATGCGGGGGAGGCGAAGGAGAGGGCTAGGGACCAGGGGGAAATGAGGGTGGGGGAACGGGGGCGAGTTTGTGGGGACGAAGATGGGGATGGAGGGTAGGAGTCGGTTACTTTGGTTAGGTTGGTCCAGCATCTGATTGCCAACTCATGCAGAGAGCATGGAAACAGATATTGGGGAACAGAGCAGTGGAACATAGCAGGGAAACAGTAGGGAACACAGGAGGATGTTGCGGAGTAGGGATGAGGGGAAAACAGAGCAAGGACCAGATCAGGGCAAACAGAACAGGGCACAGAGCAGGGCAGATACATCAGTGAACATAGCATGGAAACTGTGCTGAGAACAGAGCAGGGAAACAAAACAGGGTATAGAGAAGGGGAACGGACTAGGGGAACAGAGCAAGAGAAGAGAGCAAGAGAACTGAGAAGGGAAACAGAGCAGGGAGACAGAGCAGGGGAACAGAAAAGCGGAACAGAGCAAGAGAACAGAGCAGGGCAGTCATGCAGTGAGTTAGAGCAGGAGAGCAGAGCATGGGAATAAAACAGGGAAATAAAGAAGACGAGAGTGTGCAGGGGTACAGAGCAGGGGGGACATTGCAAGTTTAAAAGAATCACCTCTTTCATCGAAGTCTCGTACGTGCTGTCCCCGCCGGCCTCCCGCGCTAGTTGTCTAACTACCGCGTGCTCCAAGTGTTTCCGAACGATGCAATCTTCAACATTCTTCCAATTCTTGCCACATGAAGGACGCTTCACAGTGGTCTTGTGGGAGTGCTCGTAACAGTTCGACGAGTACTCCGCGGGGACTCCCCGAAGACGAATGGTTGACGGGAGGTGGACGAGGAGATGAATTTTCACTATTTTCCACTTTGACTTCTGCTTAGGAAATGCAACACGCAGAGCCTTCACCATGCTGGGGAGAGACAGTCGAGAGCATGCATGCAGTTAAGGGGTGGAATGCAGGCCAGGAAGGGAGAAACGACACGAGGGAGGGGGGGTGAGGAATCATGCAGTCAAGGGAAAAAAAAGGGTTTAAGGTAGTTAAGCAGGTGGGGTATGGAAGAACAGGGATGCAAAGGGTCAAAACAAGATGAAAGGGAAGGGGGGGGGGGGGGGGGGGGGGAGAGAGCATGTAGGTACGGTTGATGCGAGGAAAATGGGTGTATGTGGCAATGAACGGCTTGGGAGCCCACACAACAACAAGAGTAACTACCTGATGGTGGCATCTTTCATCCGTTTCAGGGAATCGTCGGTGTGGTACTCAGCGCGAATAAACTCCTTGTACCACTCGACCATGAGCACGATTGCCGTCCGGACATCTTTCCGTCCTGGGAGATCGATGATGAGAGGCAAGACCTGCATCATCGCACGATGCTCTGAAGCTGAAAAGCAGGCAGTGGATGTATAGTAGGCCCACGCCGAAGGCAGACGGAGCACGGAAGCTGGTGTGACCTCCTTCAAAATCTTGTATCGCTTAGAGAGAAGGAACGGTTCAGCATGGTGGAAAGTGCAAGCAAGGAGGGGAGGAACGGTTCAGCATGGCACGGAAAGCAAGCAAGGAGGGGAGGAACGGTTCAGCATGGCGCGGAAAGCAAGCAAGGAGGGGAAGAACGGTTCAGCATGGCGCGGAACAACTAACTCCAGAAGAATCTTCCGTTCTTTCGGAGTCAGCTTCTTCACAAGGCACTTCATGGCATGCAGCCATATGCCCTGCTCCCAGATGTGCATGATGTCCAGGGGGACAGCGAGGTACGTGTTGCCCCAGAGAGTCTTTGCGAATTCCCAGTCCCACAAAAGGCTCTACGTTGTGGGTCAAGGACACAGAGTCACTATGGCGGGTCGGGGTAATAAACACAAACAGCTGGCTGTGGATTGGAGTAGGTTCTCATGCACACTAGCCAGTGTAGTATATGGTGTGGATGGAGGGAAACCAGATGAGATGCGCGGCAATGCATGCGGAACAAGCTAGGCAAGAGTTACCTTCACAAAGTGAGTAGAGGTCTTCTTCTTCACCGCCTTCAGCTTCTTCTTGGTCTTTGCTGATTCCATCTCCTTGTACGCATCCTTCTGACTCTTGACAGTTCTGAGGACAATAGTGTCTTCCTGCTCATCCAGGCACTCCTTATCGGGGGGCGTTTGAGTCAACTCAAACGTCATCGCATCGAGGTGCTCCTTACCAGCCAAGCACAACGAGCACGGATGGAGCGAGTTGCATGCCATCGTACAAGTGACCTTAGAAGACTCCGGGTGATCTGTCACCCATGAATATAGAAGCGTGAATGCTCTATATTGCACACCGGCACTGTCTTCCACCATCACCCCGCCCCTGCACAGCCGCCAAGGATGAAGGGGGAAACAGGGAGGTAGAGGGGGGATGATGGGATAACACGTCGGAGATGGGAGTAACGGAGTAAGCATGGGTGGCCCTAAGCAAGCAGATGAAGAACGGTTAGGAAGATGGGGACAGCAAGCAGGGAAGGCATTAACGGCATGAGATGGTGGTAAAGGAAAGTTATGACTGAATACAGCGTTGTGGCACGCATGCGAAGGAGGACCAGATGTGAACGAGGGTCAACAAAGGGAGCGGAGAGGGTATGCCTCATGGAAAGAATATCAGAAGGGTAGTGGGGTGGAAACGTGACGGAGTGGTTGGTTTGACCAAACCAGAAGGCTAATGATGGAAACAGCGGGGTGGGAGGATTATGAATAGGGATGAGGCAGAATACGTAGTACGATGACGGAGATTACTAGGGATGCGCGCCTTTGGGTGACAGTAGTGTTGACTCACCCTTTCAGATGTGAAGCCGCCTTTAAATCTTTAATCATGATCTCTGCAGCGTGCTGGAACACTCGAACCTTTTCTTCCGGCGAGAGGTCAGCTGGGATATTAGGCAGAAGCCCGAGAAGCTCAGTACCTCCTTCGAGCCACCTAGCCCATTCCGGAATGTTCCCAAAGGACAAAAGAAATGGGTGGGTGGATTGGCGCCCGTTATGTGATAGATTGGTCTGGTCCGAGAACAGAATGAGCGCTATAACTATGCCATACTTCCGCACCCTCTCCTGCCACAGTGAATGAGAAAGTGATGGAAATCTGAATTGGATCCTATGTTTCGACGGTCTTGTCAAACGCGACATGAGCTGGAACCAAACTTACCCAAGCCTCCAGCATCCAGTCCGTGTTTGCAGGGGTACTGTAGCGGCGAACCCCATCAACCTTCCACTCTTGAGGCATGATGGTGAATCCCTTGACAGCTGACATTTTCTTGAGCATGGCCTGAAGGAGCTGATGGTGATAATGACGGAAACAAAGATGTAAAATAGACGTGAAGAAACGATGGTTCCCTTTGGTCCAATGGTTTGATCGTCATCACTAAACCCCCACCTCCACTCTAAAGAACGTGACACCGCACCTAGGAGACACTCACTTTTATAGCGTTTTGGCGTTTGAAAGTGAGAAACCCAATCTCGTGATCCACTGGGATCTCCTCGACGATCCATTCGTTCGCCTCTCCAACGTCAAAGGTGTTCTCGTACTTCTCCAGATCCTGGTAGCTGTTCCAATCGTCCAGCTGCTTTGGATCTAATTTCGGATATCTAACTAACTGTATCGTGTCGTTTATCGCCCCGTTGGTAAGGCCGTGAGACCGTGCCAAAATGCATATTTCCGCCTTAACATCGAGAATTTCCTCTGTAGGAGCTTCTTCCCCCACGAGTGTGGTGCTACACGTATGGACCGCATCAAGAACTCGCTCTGCCGGCTGCTGGTGGTGCTCTACGGCGTTCGGAAGTGCTGCTAAGGGAATCGAATGCTTTGGCGCGGGAAGGGTGGCTCTTCCTAACGGGACAAAGGTATACTGCTTCTCAACGTCACGACCCAGCTTCTTTCGTTTAGCAGCCTCTTGAGCCTTGCGTCTTTGGGCTCGCTTACAGCCGTCATGGTTAGCTTGATGGCTACGTACTGTTTGATAGAAGTACACGCGCTTATTGCAAAACTTGCAACCCTGACCCTCCATCGAGCAGATCTGTCCGTAGGACTGAAATGGTGTTTGGCAGACCAGCTTGAGATGTGAGTGGTAACACTGCACCGTGGTGAGATAGTAAACTATCGTATGGACGATAGTTTACCGAAAGGCGAGGGAAGGATTTGGCGCGAACACGAATTGGCGATCTGAGCCTGAACATATGTTTCCGGTGACCCTGATTGGCCATTGGTCATCGAGTGTCAGTAGTTGGTTTGCAATTGGTTAGGGTTTGTGATGTACTGCTCGAAGTGCTAGGTCACACTGTTTATTGGTGCGCGACAACCGCGCAGATGGGCGAGAACGCCATGCGACTCATACTCAGCATCTCCCAATGTAACTGTTTTCGCGTACAAAAACTGCTTTCTTGTCGCAGCAACCTGACGAGGTTTTGTACCCAACTGGAAACAAGTTGGCGAAGGTCATTTCCACTTGCGACATGGACCTGACATCCTTTTTGGGGTACACGCCAATTGTGTGTCAGAAAAATACAAGCCGCACCAATGCCATTGGAGCAGGGAATCCTGTCAGACCGCCCAACACTGGACACCAAGTAGACAATATATCAAGAGCAGGCTATTCGTTGACGACGAATCGGAGCAGGAATTTTAGCACAAAGTTGACCAACGAAGGGCAACAGTGTGTGGGTCCTTCCCTAGGAGGAACTACAGTATCTGCTTCGACTTTCCGTTGAGCTGGCTGGGCAAGGAATTTCGACCCTTACCTAAGGCAAGATCCTTCTCAAGCTGAGTTTGCGTACTCAAGATATGGAGGAGAATGGCATACCCAAGTTAGCGCGATGTAGTTTTCGGCACATGCGCATGCCATCCCCGTTTGGGGGATCTCTTGAAATCAAACCCTCAGATTACCGCACGCTGGAAAACGAGCAGTCGATCAGTGGCACGGTTATCGAGTGGCTCTCATCGTGAGTGCCTCTATGTTGAACACAGAGCAAACTGATTTGTTGACCCTTGATTTTAGTTTCTCACGAGCTTCACCGACTTTGTATATTTTCATGTCGATCCTGCAGTATGTTACACTACGAGTACGGATATGACAATGCGTCGTGGCTTTGCACATCGCCTTATTTCTGGACACTCGTAGCACGCCCGGGGTCGAAGAGGATCACTAGGCAGGCCTATGGACATGACATTTTGTCGTTTAAGCACGTTCTTGTTCCGATTAACAAGGAGTAAGTAGTCGGGTCTTCTTATTCATGTGTGGAACGTACCCATGTGCTGCAAAGTGACGACATTGGAGTCTCGATAACATTGCAGTGCGCACTGGAGCCTTGCTGTCATCAAAATTAACCACGCTCCGCGATCCCTTATCCCGATCAAGTGTGTCCTGTGGCATACAGACTCATATGCAACTCACGTCGACATTGATGGACCTTTGAGAAAGTGAGATATGTGCTTCGTATGAAACATGATTCTTGCGGACGAGTGCTAATGACCCGTACGCTCAATGCGCAGATGTTTGATGCGACAGGTCATGAAGCGCTACGCATGGATCACGGAGAGTGAAGCAAAATCGTGGGCAGCAAAGATTCCGTTAAACGCCATCAAGGTATGCGCGTTGGATGCGCGGATGCGTACGGGGGTGGGAAGGGTAGGATGCGCATGAGTGCAATGGGGATGCGCCGATGAGAAGGGGAGTGAGATGAGTGGGCTGAGCATGAGTGCGATGGGGATGCGCGGATGAGAAGGGGGGTGAGAGGAGTGGGCTGCGCATGAGTGCGGTGGGGATGCGCGGATGAGAAGGGGGGTGAGAGGAGTGGGCTGCGCATGAGTGCGGGGGGGATGCGCGGATGAGAAAGGGAGTGAGAGGAGTGGGCTGCGCATGAGTGCGGTGGGGATGCGGGATGAGAAGGGGAGTGAGAGGAGTGGGATGCGCATGAGTGTGGTGGGGATGCGCGGATGAGAAGGGGAGTGTGAGGAGTGGGCTGCGCATGAGTGCGGTGGGGATGCGCGGATGAGAAGGGGAGTGAGAGGAGTGGGCTGCGCATGAGTGCGGTGGGGATGCGCGGATGAGAAGGGGAGTGTGAGGAGTGGGCTGCGCATGAGTGCGGTGGGGATGCGCGGATGAGAAGGGGAGTGAGAGGAGTGGGCTGCGCATGAGTGCGGTGGGGATGTGCGGATGAGAAAGGGAGTGAGAGGAGTGGGCTGCGCATGAGTGCGGTGGGGATGCACGGATGAGAAAGGGAGTGAAAGGAGTGGGCTGCGCATGAGTGCGGTGGGGATGCGGGATGAGAAGGGGAGTGCGAGTAGTGGGCTGCGCATGAGTGCGGTTGGGATGCGCGGATGAGAAGGGGAGTGAGAGGAGTGGGCTGCGCATGAGTGCGGTGGGGATGCGCGGATGAGAAAGGGAGTGAGAGGAGTGGGCTGCGCATGAGTGCAATGGGGATGCGCGGATGAGAAGGGGAGTGTGAGGAGTGAGGTGCGCATGAACAACATTTTTCTGCCTGAATTCGAATATTACACCTTATCCCAACACTATCCCATTCTCGGGCCATTTGCAGGTGCGACAGCAAGACAACGATAATGACTGCGGTGTTTATGTAATGCGAGTCATTCATACTCTCGTCGAATCCAAATTCGGCAGTCTGAATGCGTGCAACTTGGTCGGGACGCCAAGACAGTGGAGGCGGCAATATCGTAAAGATTTGGCTAAGTGGTCGTGTTTCTATGATAGTGCATGCGCCTCTATTCTGGCTGTGTGATGCTCTTAGCCACCTTCGGTGTTGGATAGGGGCTGCATAATCTAGCACTAGACATGAGATTAGCTGAGTATAATGACAGATGGCCTAGTTATTATGCTATCCTGAAAGGTGTGTGTCACGTCATGGTGCTGAGGACCTGGAGTGGAGTGGGCAGTATGGAGTGGTGTCCCACCGAACCATGCATGCATGCAATGAATGGATGGCTGAAGGTGGGTTGGACAGCAGCATGCCTTCAAGGGGCACGGCATACAAAAACGGTGTGTGGTTATACGGTACTAGAACATGTCAACACACAGCGTGCCGCATGTGACTCGTAAGGTTGCACAACAAACACAACGCTGCTTCTCTATCCTCCTTTGCTGAATGCATAGTACCCCTACAATCAAGAAACACTCTGCTGATCTCTTCCAACCAGGCTGAATATGGGATGTTGCATGCCAGAGCAAGACTTGATTTGAAGCGTGCTTACACTTAGCAGCCATCTGGTGTATGTGAAACTCCAGTCCCCTGGTATCTTGGTGATGTTGCATATGACAATATACCACGGTATCACCCTTCTCACTGTTCATGGCACTTTCATAAAGGCAGCCTCTGTGACACATTACGACGGTTTTTGGAGTTTGAATTCTTGGTAGGGTTCTTTCTGTGGTTGAGGGTTATCCCTAAATGCGTGACTTGTATGTTAGTCTAGATCCAATCACAAGTACCTGGAGTTTGGTAGAAAAACAAACCAGATGATGTGTTAGAATGATATTTGGGTTGTTATACAGCGCACTTGTAACGCCCATCCTTGTTTTCAATATTGCAACGATGGTTCAAGGGCAACAGAACAGAGTCGTTCTCGAAGCGCGATGAGTTGGACTAGGCACGGATCGTCCTACGCGTGTATTTGAATTTCGCGCTGCCTGTTTGCTGTTGTGGCATTGATTTTTTGTGACATTGATTTTTTTGCGGCTAGTCTAGCTCTGATGTTGACATTCACGCGATCGAAAATACTTAGTAGTATCGCGCTTTTAGTACAATGCAGATATAGGATTGCTGGCGAAACGGCGTTCCAGCCCAACAAGTCTCCTACTAAGACCAGGCTTGTGAACACTCACATACTGCCAGCACGTACCTTGCAACTTCTAGGGCAGCTGGGCTGCTGCGATCCCAGAAGTGGTGCAGGAGCTGAAGAAGGCGCGGAACTCCAGCACGACGTGACTTCATGGGAGGTTTTCGTTAAAGGAACATGCTGTGCCATCTCTCGTGGCGGTACTTGAGACCACGAAACCCTAAGGCGAAGAGCACCAAGAACGTCATGCTTGTACCAGTTGAGGTTCTCCTTACGATACCATCCTACGATAGGCATTTCCAAATGTTGTGTCACTGTGAGTTGCTGCCATCACGCATTGCTGTTAGCAGTAGGCACTTCTAACCTTAGCGCGTTGCAATTACTCGTCGTAGGCACGTCCAGCTATGGCGCAGTCGTAATGCTCTCTAAGGGCGCGTCCAGCAATGGCGCGCTCCTGTTCTCGCTTGCAAGACCTTCTTGGGCATGTTCCGCGCGCACGTACTGGGATTTCACGCTGCGTTTCTCGTAGGCACGTCTAGCATGCGCGGTGGGATTCCTTGCACCTCGAATACCTATTTAAGCAAGCTCTGATCCATCGAAATGCACTCCTCATCTTGCAATCATTCACTGGACTGGTCTAGCGGCAATAATGGCGGACATCTGCGATCTCGATCAACAGGCCAATGCTACTGCGGTGGTAGTAGGCACTGGAGCTTTACAGCCCCTGGAAGGCGCCAGAACAGGTGCGGAACAGAGGCTTCATGACGAGATGACACCTCACAAAGCTGCTCCGTTAGTTGTTCAGTATCGGAGGAAGAACAAATCTTCTGCACGCGCTGCCGAGGAGTCAGGGGACTCATCATCGGATAGTAACCAGTCTGGTGACGAGCCTTACGCTGGCCGAATTAGTCGCGGCGGTTCAAGCGAGCCGCGGAACGGTCCTAAGGTGAAGCTGCTGGACCAATTCAAACCTGCTAAAGAGAGGAAAGGTAAGCAAGAGCCTTTTAGCTCCGCATAGCGTCTTTCTACGTCTGTTTCAGAGTTGCTCATTGATATCGTGGTTGATTTCGCCACCAATAGAGGTGTTCCACTCGTCACCACTGATCTTGTCGCCCTTTCTTTATGTGTTGTAGCTAAACGCGGTGCCAAGAAAGGGAAAAGAGGGAAACAACAGGCGACCGGGGCAACACGACAGCATGAAGCTGTGGACGACGAGGATCACTTGCAAGTGAAAGGGCATGAGCGTGACGGCGAGTGGGGCGGCGAGCGTGACAGCGATCGTGACAGCGAGCGTGACGGCGATCGTGACGGAGAGCGTTACAGCAAGCGTGACGGCGATCGTGACGACGAGCGTTACAGCAAGCGTGACGGCGATCGTGACGACGAGCGTTACAGCAAGCGTGACGGCGATCGTGACGAAGAGCGTTACAGCAAGCGTGACGGCGATCGTGACGGCGAGCGTTACAGCAAGCGTGACAGCGAGCGTTGCGGCAAGGTTGGCGAGGGTGAGGGTGATCATGAGGGCGAGCTTGAAGTGAAGCGTGACGCATCCCCTCCTACTGCAGCAGGTGCTCGACAGGATGGTGCAGAGAATGTTCCTGGGCATGGGGGGGGTGGGAGGGAGAGCCGTGGCGGGGAGTTGGAGGATCAGAGGGAGGTGTCAGGGAGGGTGAAGTCACGGCGCCGAAGGGCTGGAAAGAAAGCCCCTGTCAAGGAGGAATCTTCCGATGACGATGAAAGCTCTGAGGAGGAGTCGGGAAGATCCTCTGGGAGCGAGGAGAAGTACAACGATGAGGAGGACGAAAGTGAGGATGCGGAATCAGAGTCAGAGAGTGAGGAGGAAGAAAGGAGGAAAGGCAAGGCTCGGGGTGGACGCAGAAACGGATCTAGCGGAAAGCGTTGTCGCGCTAGGAAGGAAAAGAAAGGGCGTAAGAGGGGGAGGCCCCAAGAACATGCACCAGCCAAGCGCTCAGAACTTGGGGAAACCCGAGTGGGTAAGGAGCGGCGTACTTTGAATGCCGATCTCGGGTTCTACAACGACATGAAGGTTTTGGGGAAAACAGTAGATGCTACAGCGGAGAACCGACGGGAAAGCATTCGCAAGAAACGGGGGGCTTCAGACAACCCCTATGCGGCACTCGCTTCAGGTTCCTTGTTGGGAAGGAATGCCCAGCCGGTTCGTGGGCTGAGTGGCATCAAAGTTGAAGTCCAGCATGTTGCTGACAACCGTAAGCATGGAGGAAGTGACGATGAGGAGTGGAGCATTGGGCAGGGTTTTGAGCGGAGTAGTGGCGTGCAGGTCGGACTCCAGGGCGCAGCTGACGGTGGCAACCCTGGTGCTGGAGGTCAGCCAGGCGACGGTCGACCTAGTTGTGAGGCTTTTGGTAAAACAGATATTGGGCCTGAAGTCGCGGGAGAATTCGCAAGGTGCAAGCAAGAGGGTGCGGCAGTTGTATTCCCTTTCAGTAGTGCTGGTGTATCACCCAACGCGTCCATGCAGCAATTGTTTCAGGCATTGCAGGAAGCGAATAGGCAGATTGCGGAGCTGAAGGCAGCACCAAGGCCCCTGGGAAATTCTGCTGGAGTAGGAATGCCAGTTCCACCTCTGCAGAAGATATCCAGCAAGCTACCCTCCCAGGAACCTGAGCCCGTGTGTGTGGCGGAGAGTGCTGTACAAGGACCGCCCATCGCTAGGAGACATGGAATGCCATCTGCCACGAATTTGAGGGTCAGTTGCCCTTCCCCAACCCGTAAATCTGTTTCCCTGCATGCCTTGCTTTGCATCCATCTCTGTTTGCCCCGTTCAAAGCATGCTGTGCTCCCCAAGCATCTTAATTTGCACCTTCCCTGCATGCCTTGCATTGCATCCATCTCTGTTTGCCCCATTCAAAGCATGCCCTGCTCCCCATGCTTCCCAATTTGCACCTTCCTTGCATGCCTTGGATTGCATTCATCTCTGTTCGCCTCATTCAAAGCATGTCCTGCTCCCCATGCATCCTAACCTGCACCTTTCCTGCATGCCTTGCAGTGCAGTCATCTCTGTTTGCCCCATTCAAATCATGCCGTGCTCGCCATGCATCCCAATTTGCACCTTTCCTGCATGCCTTGCAGTGCAGTCATCTCTGTTTGCCCCATTCAAAGCATGCCCTGGTCCCCATGCTTCTCAATGTGCACCTTCCCTGCATGCCTTGCATTGCATTCATCTCTGTTTGCACCATTCAAAGCTTGCCCTCCTCCCCATGCATCCTAATTTGCTCCTTCCCTGCATGCCATGTTCCATGTTTTCCCTTCCGTTGAATACTTCATTAGCTCTACATCGAGGATACCAGGAATCGCATGTGCATGGAAGCTGACGACAACGAAATCAATTTCTACCCATCTTTTGAGAAGAGGATCTTGGTCTTGCACGCGGTCATATCAGAGAACTACATAGTGTCTTTGATTCAGTTGAAAGAGGTCATGCAGGACCAGAAACGCATTGAAACTTTCAAGCGTGTTTGGACGCAATGGAAGAACGAGCGCGCCTTATATATCAAAAAGGCGGTCATCACAAAAATGTGTGCGTCTGGAAATCATCTTACCAATTTTTTTTAAGCAAGCTTCAGAAAATCGTTTGACAATCATCCAGGAATCATCTACGAATCGTTTGTATAGCATTCTTGTCAGACCAAACGTTTTGGTGATGTTTTAGTAATGGTTTCGCGGTGTTACAATGGAATGTTTGTTAGATGTTAATTTTTGAGACAATAATAAGGTGGCTTAAAAACGTGTTTCACAATCAAAGAAGGTTATGGTAAATTGACATAGTTACTACTGAATTTGCATCACCAGATGAACCTATTGAGCAGCTTCACAGCAGGGTCTTTGCAGCACGGGACAACATGCACGATGCTAAGAATGCAATCTGCATCTACAACTGCATAGTTGAAGGTGCCCTTCGTGGGCATCAGTCGTTTGCAGCCAGTGTACCGGCAGACTCGCCGATCCTCCGTGTAGTACTCGATGTAGGCGGCTTTTTTTGCCACGCCATCTTTCACGTAATGGAACAGCATCAAGCAGCGGCCGTACCAGTTGGCCCCTTTGCCACCTGGATTTATGGCTACATCTGAAAAGTGCCTGTCGGAAGGGCTTGCTTTGACAAACTGCCCCTTCTCGGTCCACTCCATCCTGTCGTGCGGTGGGATTGCCATGGCAGTGTGCACCTGCGAATAGGCAAGCAGGGGTTGCAGCACAACAATGGAAGTTTGTGTTAGGGTTGAGACAATGGGGTGCTGACGGGTGCGTGGATACAACAGGGTGCCATGCCTGGGTTCGGCCCATTAAGGAGGTTGATGGTCCGCGTTTAACAGGTCTACGTGGCAGTGGCAGTTGATTCTCACATTGATTCTCCCGCATTGAGCACCATATTGATTCTCACATTGAGCACTTGGTCGTGAATTCCCTCCCTGGCCAGCCGCTTCTTCAAGTAGCCCATCGCTTCATCTCCGTGAACAAGGACATTGCTCCTGAACACATCGTCCGTGATCTGCCCCACGGTCATCTTCTTGTGTGTCTTAGTCAGCACCCGACGCCCAAGCGTGCAAGCCTGGGTAGGAGGGTGATGGGTGCATGGTGTACATGGGGGGCAGCAGGAGAGGGGCAGCACTTGAGTACAACAGGGGCAGCAGTGAGAGGGAGCAAAGATTAGGGACCAGTCGGTTAGTATAGCGGGGCAGTTCCAGAGGTCAAAGGGTGCAGCAAGAGAAGGGAGCATAGGTGGACAAGTTTAGATCAAGGGAGGGCAAAGGAAAGACAAACGGCAGGAGGGAATGGGAAGTGCCGGGGATGGACATGGAGGAGGATGGGGGGGGGGGGGAACCGAGGGGGCGACGTGTTTAGCAGCACGAAGGTATATGGTGGATTAGTAGGGGAGCATTGGGGGCTGAACGACAGATAGTCCCACGGGGGCCGGGGGAGGGGCATGGGTGGATAAGTGGGAAAGCATGTGGGGCAAGACGGAATGTGAAGGGTGGCAGCTAGTGGAAGGAGCGATGGGTGGACAAGAACGCGAGCATGTAGATGCAAAACGGGATGTCAAGGGGGGCAGCGGGAGAGGCATTTCATGGGTGGACATGATGGTGAGCACGTGGATGCTAGAAGGGATGTCTAGGGGGGCAGCGGGAGGAAGGGAAGAGGCAGGGTCTAAACAAAAACACGAGGTGATAGAGGGTTTCATGCGGCAGGAGCAGGCGGGGAACATTGGTTGGCAAGATCGGCCTTAGGTCGTACACAGGCTCACCTCCTTCATGGCTGTCTCGTATGTTTTGTCCCCGCCGGAGGCTCGAGACAGCTGTCGAACAACGGCTTCCTCGATATGCTTCTTCACAATGCGATCCTCCACACCCTTCCAGTTGGTGCCGCGAGAAGGGCGCTTCACTGTTGTCTTGTGGGACTGCTCGTACCGGTTCGACGAGTACTCCTGTGGCAATCCCCGTGCACGGATCGTCGGCGGGAGGTGCGATACAAGATGCACCTTGATAATAAGCCACTTCGACTTCTGGTTGTCGAATGCTAGAACAAGCGCATCGACCATCCTGGATAGGACGTGTTTGGGTGGATTGAAAGGTTCGGGATTGGGGCATTGGGTGTTGGGGATCGGATTAGCGTGCGTAAGCATATAAACAACAATTCAGCCACAAACAACAGACAATGCCCAATACCCGGGTTCATGTACTACTACCCTCTCTCAAACCCTCCCCCCTCCTCTCATCTCTCCCCCCCCCCCCCCACCCACTCACAACTCAGCTTCCATGTTTCTGCCACTCCATTCCCCCACTCTAAGCCCCTCCTCTCGTCATTATGCCCCTCCTTCCCTTTTTCAGCGCATGCAGAACAGTCCACAGCCCATCGTTCCCTCCCCCCCCTCCCCTCTTTCCCTCCTTCGTCCCCTCTTTCCCTCCCTCGTCCCCTCTTTCCCCCCCTCGTCCCCTTTTTCCCTCCCTCGTCCCCTCTTTCCCTCGCTTTGCCCCCCTTTCCTTATCTTTTCCCTTCTTCCCCCGTTCTATGCACCCTATTTCCCACACACTGCCTCTTAATCCCTCCCTCGACCCCTTCAGCCATCTCACTGTCCCTCGTTCCCTATGCGCATGGCACCCACACCCATTCACGCTAGACTTACTCGCAAGAGACCTCCTCCATGCCCTCAAGCGTGGCATCGGTGTGATACTCAGCCCGGATAAACTCCTTGTACCAGTCCGACATGATCGTGATGGCATGTCGAATATCGGCGCGCTTGGGGAGGTCGATGATGAGGGGCAGCACTTGCATCATGGCACGGTGCTCCGACGCTGAGAAGCAGGCCGTCGTGGTGAAGTACGCCCATGCGGATGGGAGTCTCAGCAAAGACGCAGGAGTCGCTGCCTTGATAATCTTGTAGCGGCTGCACTTACGGGATGCAATAAGGGTATCGGTTTAGGGGGTGTGGGGCCGGTGGGGTGGGTTAGGGAGGGGGGCGGGGGAGGGGTGGGGCTAGCGGGGTGGTCTTGTAGTTAGGTGCATCAGATCGCACCTCATCTCCCCGCTGCCTCTCTCTCAGTGAATCCCTTTCCGTCCTCTGCCCCACTCCCC